TAAAAAGCTTGGCGTGCTCAGCAGAGCGGGACAGTATTTCATGCCGGCACACCGCCTGCAACTTTACAAGGCGCAGGTTCTGCCTCTCTTTGCATTTTCTTTCGTATTTACCTCGGGAAGTGCTCTGAGGAAAAGTTCGGATTAATCTCAGCGGCAAAATTTCAGGAACGCACATCGCGGCAGAACTCCCGATACAATCCACACCATCTGGATGATTGGCGGTTCACCATTGTGCGATTTAGGAAATGTTTTCTTCTTCGCAGAACTTCCTTGTGGAATAGTTTACCACCAGCGATTTTTCCGGACCGATACGACTTAGGGACCTTCAAGAAAAGAGCCTACTCCTTTTTAAAAGGCCGGCAAAGCATTTGCAATTCCCCTGGTTGCCCTGGTGTTGCGGTTGTTCATGGGCGGCGGTAGTTACTTACCATCAGGTGAGCCGCATGCTCGTTTGCCCCCTCTCCTATAAAAGAAATAAAATTATACAACTAAACCAAAATTAAAGCCTAAGCATTTATATGGCTCAGCAATCACACTGTAGAGTATTGGGCTATTACGCTGCAGGCATTGAATTCTTGAGCTTGCCGTACATATTATAAACTATTTGCTACACCTAAGTCTCGAACGAATACTGGGAAAGGTTCATCATTGACTCGAATGACTGAAACTACTAGATTTATATATTTGATTTATATATTTGAAATGAATGTTATTTCCTTTAAAAATCAGTTCTTTTTAATCTGTTGCGTCACATACTATTCAATAATTCACATTTGATTGAATTAAATCCATAGCCAGCATACTTAAAAAAAAATCCAACTTTTAGCAAATACACGCAAATTTTTTTGTAATAATTTGTAGTTAACGGTGTTTGTTTCACAATAATTTCATTATAATTTTTATGTATATGTTTGTTCATCCGAATAAATGAAAAATAAATCCAAAACCGTGTCAAATTTCATGCTTAAAATCAAATTGGCTTAGAGCAACGCTGACTTGAAGATATGTGCCAAACAAAGGTATGCTACTTCTGGAAAATAAATTCAAGTGGTCATGCGCACTATTTATGACTAGTTTTTATTAAGCGGCTACGGATAAAGTTGTAAAAGCCAAAAGGCTAACAGTATTAACTGCTCATAAAATTTGCTCCGAGAAAAATACCAAATTGTTAATTTTTATGCGGTAAAAAAGTTTTGCTACAATAAATTTAAAAATTGTAGCGTCTATATTTCAATCAAAATATTAATTTTGTAATATAAAACGAAAATTCTTAAATTTTTATCGCAAAAGTTTTCGTTCCTATATATTGAACAAAAGTCTACGACTCTGGGAAAAATCTTACTTTCAAAATTGTTAACGTATTTGTACCAATGATACTTGTAGTGCCTTCATAGCGATAGAACGACTTAGTTCACCGTGTGCGAGGAGCTTATAGCGTGTGTGTAGAGCCCCCTGTAAAAAAATATCAGAAATAAATATTTTGGTTGGAAGCGTTATGATTTCCGCCTTATCGCGAAGTGGCTAAGCTATTTGTGCATGTCTCCTTGATACGACATACTAGCTTACAACGAGTGGATCTTATTGCATATTGTTGCATCAAGCAAGGGTATGTTACTAGTACAGATTTGCGCCTCTATCATGGCATGTTCACTTGTGGTATTATAGAATATCTCCCATACTCTTAATGAATAATACAACTGAAACAGGATATGAACAAAAGAGAGCATAATTCTGATAACAGCTCAAAAAATCCGAACCCAACCCTTCTGCCGATCGTGAAAACTATGACGAATACGAGCCTATGAGGCAAACTCTGGGGAAAGGGGATCTTTATTGTCAGCAGTGGTTGGTAGTAGAAATGCTGTCGTTAGCTTCTAAGTACTCCTAAATTGGCAACGTATTTGATAATAGACCAAAAAGATAAAAACCGCGAGAATCCCATAAGAAATAATAAATTGAATCAGGCATTTCTTTGCGGAAATTCGTTAAATATGTTTTATAATTAATTACCTGAGATCCGTGTGAAAAATAAAACAGACGTGTCTTAGCTATATACTTTGATGATTACCTCCGCTTTCCTCAATTATTGCGAGCTCTTACTTTGCCGTAAATGTGGCATCATGATAAGAAAATGGACTGCCTAAGTGATGGTGACAGAACTCATTACGAGCTAAAGTATAATCATTTATTACAGTTTACGAAAAGCACATTGTTGATCATAGCCATAGAGGGATATTTGCCATAGCTATCACACTTGGCAGATGGTTTGGTAAACGCAGTTTTTTATTAGTTTATCAGTTGTTTTTATAAAAATGCTGCAGGTCATTTCTTTTTTCAGTCCCTCTGTCGCCGTTTACGACATCCACGGGATACATGGGGTATATAGTCAAAAATTTTTATTGCCTGAAAATTGACGGCAAGAAATATTCATATTTTATTAATCAGAATATCACCTGTATGTAATTTAGACGCTAAAAATAAATTTTATGTAACTAGTGAAGAATTTTGTTTCAACAGTCTAAAAATTATTCTTGCAGTATCATTTATAAATATATAAAAATAATAAACTGTAAAGTGCTCAAAACGTTGGGAATATAAAACAAGTTAATATACACGATAAAACCGTAAAACTAGTTTTATTTAAATATAAAAATAAATATAATAATGATGATAAAAAGAAGACGAGGGAAGGAAAGAATGAGAAATGTAGTGCAAAGTACAGAAGACGTATCTTAAATGACTCTCTTAATTTATATAATATTTTAAATTGACATATATCATATTATTGTAAAAATAAGATGCATAACTACAATTTATTAATTTAAGACAGATAAATATGACGGAGTATTTATTTAAGCCGATGTAATTCGTAATGGCAAAATCTTGCATAATATAATAATGATGATAAATCTAAAGGGGCATTCACAACAGATATGAAAGAAAAGCTTAGAAAATATATTAAGTCGTCATAACAATAATCCAGACGTCTTTCCCTTACATTTGTAGTTAGCGCCTACGTGTATACTGGTGCCATTGGGGCTGACAATCAATGTCGTTTTCAGATTTCTGGACAAATTTAAGTGGAATTTTTAGGATATAATTTTACTTAACCGAAATATTAAGCCGTAATTCTTACTTATTATTTCATAAAGCAAGTTAAGTTTTCCACATATTTATTATAAATTAATGATATAATTTTACTGTCAATGAATTTTATAATTGGAATTTTACTTACTGATTTAGGAGGGTTCATTTCAAAAAATGTCTTAACGGTGAAAGAAAACATCATGTTCAAAAATTATAATAATATATCATAAGGACATATGAAATCCATACATTCGACACTGTGGTGGACATAACATATTTGAATATTGTAGCAGAATTACACATGCTCGTAGTATCCCTACACTGTTAATGGCAAAAATTCGGTTGTTATAAAAACCAAACACCCCATTTGGAATCAAGGTCGTAATTTCGGCAGTCGATACTCGTACTATTAATAATTATAAGGGTTTGCGTAAGAGTTCATCATCATCATCATTACATCCCTTCACAAGTCCACTGCTGAACATAGGCCTTCCCCAAGGAATGCCACAAAGCACAGTCCCGAGATACCTGCATCCATCATTCCTGCATGTCTTACCAGGTTGTCACTCCATCTAGTGGGGGGACACCATACAATTTACCGCCACTCGAGAACTTTTTTCCCCATCGGTTTTCAGTACTTTGAGCTATATGGCCAGCGCGTTGCCACTTCAGCTTACTAAACCGTGGGATATGTCAGTCACTCTGGTTCTACTGCGGATATCCTCATATCTAAGTTTATCACGCAGAGACACTGCGAGCATAGCCCTCCATAGCTCGCTGCGCGATTTTAAGCTTCCTCATCCAGCCAGCAGTGAAGGACCACGTCTCAGTTCCATAGGTCATCACTGACAATACGCACTGGTTGTACAGTCTCGTTTTCAAGTTTTGAGTTATACTTGAATAGAAGATGTGCCGTAATTTCTCGAACGCTACCCAGCCGAGTTGAATCCGTCGATTGACCTCTCGGTCGAAGTTGGGAAACATACTTGTCAACAACTTCGAGCTTAGTGCTCGCAACTACTACCAGCATAAGTGTGACATTGACATTATACATGAACTTTGTTTTCTTCATGTGTAGTGTTATGTTACTTACATATCATTTTACATTATTTTAAATTCATTTTTCCATTCTGTTTCGATTTTCTGCATTCACCTCAAAACTGGATATTTTACATCCCCTTTATTTCCATAGGATCCTGTAACGATTTTAAACCATAAGAACACAATAACAAATCATTTTTACTTCGTATTTTCACACTATCAGCACTTTTAAATTGGTGTCAATGGAGTCTACCTTTTTCGATCTTTTATTTAGTTTTCCGTTACTCTGCAATTTCGGGCTTTGTGCGCGCAGGTGCGCTACCTTTTTTCCTATATCAATAATATCTCATTTTTCACTTAAATCTTGCCGTTTTTCTATTACGAGCCTAAAACCAAAATTTGACATGTTTTGACATCGTTGTTTATCTGGTTGTCATGACAATTATATTCAAATTCGCTACCGGTCTGTTGTAATAAAAAAAAATTGCAAAAAAAAAGATAATTAAAAAAAGATTAGTGTTGAAGTTGAGCTTTTATTTTATCTGGATCAGCACGTAGACCATTCTTGTAGAAAAGAAGTGCGAAGATTCATAGGCACCTGCAGCTGGTTCAGAAGATTCATCCCAAACTTTAGCACTATTGCCTCTCCACTCAACCAACTAACCTGTTCCGGGAAGAACGCTCCTAAATTTTTATGGAATTCACAAGCTGCAGCTGCTTTCCAGAAACTTAAAGAAGCTTTGGTAACTGTTCCTGTCCTTGCTTGCCCTAACTTCGAACTACCCTTCTCTGTACATTGTGATGCATCAAACTATGGCATAAGAGCAATGCTTACTTAACATCAAGATGACAAAGAAGTCGTGATTGCTTACATGAGTAAAGCACTAAACAAAAATCAACAGAACTACTCAACTACTGAAAGAGAAACATTGGCTGTAATAACTGCGTTAGAACATTGGCGATGTTACCTAGACAATGGTAAAGAATTTACAATATATACTGACCATGCTGCACTTAAATGGTTTCAGAACTTATCGAATCCATCAGGAAGACTTGCTCGCTGGACTTTACGCTTATCATGCTTTAACTTTGTCCTGAAACATAAAAAAGGAAAGGATAACGTTGTTCCAGATTTATTATCAAGACATAAGAATCAAGAACGTCCTGATACACGAGAAATTTCACCTCAAGGCGTACATCCTATTACGATTGAAGAACCACCTGATCGTAAACTTGAGCACTACAACAAGATTTTTCTCGGATGCTCCAACAACCCAGACGCATATCCCAACTACACTATCAGGGATAACAAACTTTACCGCTGCATTCATTCTCCCGATCGTCTAAACGATGACTTTATTTGGAAAGAAGTTCCACTACCTCAAGATAGACATGCACTTATTGAAGTTAACCATGGTTCCCCTTCAGAACTCCATCTTCGTATCTTCAAGACATTCAAGAAAATATCTTTAAAATACTATTGGCCTGGTATGTTTAAGGACATTGCCAATCTAATCTCGACTTGTGAAACCTACTTAACCTACAAACACCCTAATCATTCTCCCTATGGTCTTATGGGTAAACCTAAACTTTGCTCCAGACCTTTTCAAACTATATCCTTAGATCTTATGGGTCCATTGCCTATGACTTGAAGACGAAATCAGCATATTCTAGTAATTAACTGCAATTTTACTAAATATACTATGATTTTTCCCCTAAACGTGCTACTTCAGCTAATATTATTAATGTTTTGGAAAATTCAGTTTTTCTAGTTCATGGCATTCCCCAAACTATTATAATGGACAACGCTGTTCAATTTCAGTCGCGAGAATTCCACTCATTCTTAAATTCTTATAACGTTCCTTTTATTTTTCACACAGCTTTATATTGTCCTCAGGTTTATCTTACGGAGAAGTTTAATAGTACAATTATTACAGCTCTAGCATCTCTAGTAGGAGACGATCATAGATCCTGGGACAAGTATCTTACTAAGATTCAGTACGCAATGAACAGCGCTACAAATGTAGCTACTGGCTTTACTCCAAACTTTTTAGTCTTTGGTAGGGAAACAATACCTTGTGGTTCCTTCTATACTCCAACTCAGAACCTCGAGGAATTGATATTTATGCCTCGTGATATTTACGCGTCTAATGCTGGTCTCCTCTCATCTATTTTTCACAAAGTTCAAACTAAACTTCACATAGCTCACGCTAAAAATAGCGCTCGCTATGATCTTCGCCGGTCTTTTAAAGAATTTAATGTGGGAGATACTGTTTGGCGTAAAAACCATGTTTTAAGCAATGCCAGCGCATACTTTAATGCTAAACTTGCCCCTAAGTTCATCAAGTGCAAAGTGATAGCTAAACTGTCACCACTAGTCTATGTGCTTGAAGACCCTAATGGAGTTAGAGGCAAGTGGCACATCAAAGATGTAAAATTATAAATTTTCTTAACTTTTATTAACTGTTAATTTGTATATATGTATAAATATCACCATCATTCTCACCTTATTATTTTTATTTCTTTTAATTTGTTTGTTTGTTTGATGATCTAGTGTTC